ATTTATTCGGACTTTTTGTCGATGTTCCTTTCTCGCACATCTGCTTCCAATTACTTGCTGAAAATGCTGTTTACGCTCGATTAAAGAATCCACTTGGCTGCGTTATTTTTGAGCGGAGATTATTCGTGCCGGTCCATTAGTAGCTTCCATTCTTTGACGGGCTCGCTAGAAAGTTTGCTCTTAAAGGACTACATTGGCTTTCGTTATTGATCAGATGGATATACTTTCATTCATAGGATTCTATCATTCCAATAACGCGAATGGGATCTGGGTGCGTGTAACTATTTCGAAAAAAACAAGGAAAAAAATTCCGAGAATAAAAAGAATTTTCAGTCAGTCGAATGCTCTTCTTCTGATCCCTAGTTCTGGTTCTGACTTTTATGGAAATTTATTTAGTCACTACTACTAAACTGTGTAACTGTGTAAGTAAAAGTGAACCTTATGGAATGTTTAAAATAAAAAGGAAGAGTAAACTTTGAGACTACATCTTGTTTCTATTCTCGAAGATCTCGGCTTAGAGCACGGTCTGAATTTAGAAGGTTGCTATGTTTGTGTTCCCAGATACATACGGATGCTGCTCGGATCCAACCGTTGCCGCCTTCTCACTTCAATTATCCGAAATTATTGTTGAAGATCCGATCCTGATTTAGGCAAAAACCAACATAAACATTCATTGGCTGCACATCTGCTTCTACATGTTTTTCATTTCCAGCTTTTTGTCCCCACAACCATAAGAACAGAATAACTATTTCCCCCGTAAACACCCTTCTACTTTTCTCTATTTGTATTAAAATTATGTCACCCTGGTAGGAATGTTATTAAGAACCGAGTTCCTATCACATACTTGCATACAAAATGTTTCCTTAAACTGTCCAGGTTTTTTCGGTACGTATTGTACAAGTTATTGTTGGGAGGCTCATAAGTCAGTGATTGATGGCGTGGAAAAACAAAAGCGGAACTCTGCCCTAATTCTTTACTACTTCACGATTGCGTTTTAGCATCTGCTCATTAGTAGCTGCTGGAAACCTCCTCAACCATTCGTCAATGCGCTCATCTATTGAGGAACCCACCATTCTGTCTATGCAAACATTGATACAAATTCACAATTTCAAGCCCCTCAATGCTCCGCCTCCAGAATCACCCAGATATCCTCTCAATAATCTTCTCTTTGATGTGCTTGTCTGGTTGTCCATTTGAGGCCACTCAATAATGGCTCAGCTGGAGTTGAAGATGGACAAGCCGAGAACAAACTGGTTGAAAACTAAACACTTGAAGCAATGGTTCTACGAAACTTATACTGAACACTAGTAACTTCGGTTATGGTATGGGATAGACTTATGGATCCCCGCGGTCCACTCCTTGTCCATCTCACATCATCTGGTCCAAGGAGTCGAAGAGAAAAAGTCTCATTCTCTGGGAGCTGCCACTGCAACCTCCTCAATACACTTGGCATGGTCTGACTGAAATATGTTCGAAAATCCAAATTTTGACCAAAGAGAGGTGCTTCTTGGTGGTGGGGAATGTGCTCTTTGGTAAAACATGACAATCAAACATAGAAGAGTGGGAAGGAACCAGTCGTCTGAAGCATCGATTATGATTAACTTATGATTTTCATGCTGAACCTTCACCGCTGCGCTAATCATCCTCCCATTCCGCTTAAGGAAGCTCTTTGTCCTTTGTTCTTTTCACCTCCTACCAGCAATTAGGAGAAGGGTTACGTGGAACCTAAATCAATTCGTGACAAGAGACCACCGTGCCAGTTTAGGCATCGTCCTGCTCCTCTTTTAATTATGTTTCAGCGCTCTTTGCTGAAATGTGATCAATCACGGAAGAATGACAAATCTTTGGCGCTGGTCAACTCCTTTGGGAATACAACGGATTCGCTGCAACACCGTAGAGTTCAGCCGCTTTCGAGGGTTCGAAACACTTGAGGGCAGCGCGATAGCCGGCGTACATATGTATGTCTTTTTTCTGCAGCGTAAGTTATACTCACTATGCATCTCTTCCAACGAGAACTGGTACCCAGGCCCGTTTATGCTGCAAGTACGATTGATTAACAACGAATAAGCACTTAAGCCATTGTGTTGAGGAATTTACCTAACTCGTCATTTAGTGGAAACGGAAATGTCGCTTTTCAGACGACTTTGATATAGGCACTCTTCATATTATCCATTCTCTGCAGGGCTCCACAGTGAAGATCTACTTTTGCTTGTTGTTAGGAGGCATGCGACTGGATGATACCGAATAGTTATTGTGATCCGCAACCATTTCATCACTGACAGGGATGAGCTAGTGAAGGGGGAGTTACCGACTACCACTCACGAATGGTCTAGGGTTCGCTTTCTGGATTGTAGCTCGCCCGAGCCAACCAAGCCTTCCATCCCTCCGGTGTCGATTGACTGGCACCGGACTAGTCCGCAATGTTGAAAGCACCGGCTTGTGCATTGGCGGACCACCGCAAGTCATTCTATGTACAGGCCACAAAGCCGCATTCAGAGCGCCAGAACGATTCTGAATGGAAGTCGAGTGCGGGAAAGGATCCTGCATTTGATCAACACCAAAGACGTTATCCGTTACGCTAATATGTTCTGTTGGCCTTCAACTGCCCTCCGTTTTTTGCCACATTCGATGGCTACAGGGTTTCCTCCTTTCACCTTAATCGGCCATACTTTCCTATAAATTTTTCCAGCATTTCTCAATTTTCCTAACTTTTTTTCAACGAGCATTGTCAATTATTCCCCTCACTCAGGGTCAGATATCCTGTTCGTTCACGCCTGTAATTCTGCCACCTTTGTGTGTACCGATCAGATCAGCAGTCACCGACAACTATGTAATGGGGGGGGGGGGCAGCCTGCCCTATACAGGTAGTGCTCAAGAGATGGAATTATGACGCCAAGGAAAAGGCCGCAATCACAGAACAGGTTCAGATGTCGAGGAATGATTGTTAGTATTAATGTGTGCGCGGCAGGTGTCAATCGTCTGGGCTTATGAGAAGGGAATTAAGCGACCACATCATGATTCAATCATATCTGATGCTGAGCAGCTGACCGTAGCTGTGGGGTGTTTGTGCGATAGCAAATAGAGCCGTCATTGTTCTAACAGTAAGAACTATAAATCATAGTAATAAAGAGAAAAATATAGCTCCGCCTTGCTTTGATTTTTTCCAGAAAAAATGGATCGGATGGTCTCTACGAACACCTTTTTTGGGTAGTGGTCAGAAAAAATGGATCGGATGGTCTCTACGAACACCTTTTTTGGGTAGTGTCAGAAAGAAATGGATCGGATGGTCTCTACGAACACCTTTTTTGGGTAGCCCTGCCCCCTGCCGGTACATCACTGCGTACAGTCCCTAGGATGCCGTTGGAAGCCTCGGGAACAATATGACCCCTCATAACTGCAGTACCCCCCATTTCTAGCGACTCAACCTTCTGCGTTGTCCATCAGCGTATTTTTTCCTGACCTTGCAGGACACCGAAAGAATACGAAGCATAGCAAAGGCGGGGATTTAGCACTTGTCACATGAATTCTCTTTTATCTCACTTCTCGATCGCTCGGTTGCAGTGCGTAATGATGGATTAGGCTTGGCTTACGCCTTATGGCGTGTACGTCTACGCAACCGTAGGCGTAGAATGTGTGCTTGGACACTGGTCCGGCTAAGTTTGTTAGGACAATGGGGAAGAGAAACAGTGAGAGCTTAAGTGGCCTTGAAAACATAAACCTCCTTGGATTGGTCTTTTCAGATATCACAGAAAGGACTTCTTACAAAAATATGAATGGTTGGGAGAAATTCCTAGACATTGTCAACTTCTAAGAAAATATAATCCGACTTGAAAGCAGCTCTCACAATGAAACGCAAAATTTGGCTCTCATGGTTTCAGTTAGGTACAGGTTCTAATATTTCTACTGACAGATTTCGAAAAGAGGACAACCGATCGAGTAACAGCAGAAAATACAAGCCTGTGGGAGCCCCTAAGTAAGAGACAAAAATTTTGAGTGTTCAATCTCTTTCGAATGCTCTTTCTGTTCCCCTTGTCTCCAGTTTTTGCATTGGTTTACTTCCTCTTCCAAGAAAACAGGAAGCTGTCATTATCTATGAAAGACACTCTAATTTACCACCCACCTTTTTCAACGATTTTCTTTGAAGTTCTACTGGCCTTTTTTCAGTCCCTTGCAGCCGTAAAAGGTAATAGAACTTTTTCCAGTGAATGGCTATTCTTCGAATTTCCTTTGCATTCAGATATTTTCGTATGAGGATAATTGCCTCAAATCGGAGTGGGAAGCGAGAACTACTCTTTTTGAAAGGTGGAATGACCGTGATAGATGGGATGCCGTCACCGCCAAAAAATCGCATGCCATTTCGGGGATTTATGTGAACAAAAACTCCACCACGAGATATTTTGAACTAATAGTGTGTATGTTATGTGGTATAAGGCAAAGTGAGGGTTCGTTTCGTGACAACTCCTAACCCCATCTTCACGCACCCTCCCACCACCCTATCAAGTAAGTCGAGTCCAACCGCGAAGCTAATCTTGTCGGTGCTTCGAATTTGGGGCTTTCAACGAAAATTTTTGTGTGCCCTGCTCTAGTAAAATAAGCTAGACTGTAATGAAGAAGAGCTGAGTGGCCACGGACGAGAACTCTGTATTCCTAGCTTTCTTGCAGACTTAATCCAGGATCATGGATTGAATCATATACTGAAAACGCTTCAAAACGGGGTGTAGAGCTAAGAAGAAGAACAAATGGTCCCATCTCGGCCAGCTGTTTGGCCTTATCTGAACGTCACCGTAGGGTGATGATATCGCGGATAGAAAAAGTCGCTCGATTCACTTTTTGTGTAGATTCGGATCCATTCCAAGACTCGGACTTTCCCAATGTTTAGTTTGTGATTTGCTGATTATGCTACACTATGACAAACTTGAAATATGGTAAGTATATCAGGGTTCACTGAATATATCGGTGTTCTGCTAGAGCAGGCTCAATCTTAGGTCCTCGAATTAATGATGGCAACCGCCGCATGGCGTGCTTTATACCTTCATGAGAAAAAAGGCGGAAAGTGGCCTCTCAAAAAAGAACAAACAACGATTGACCTCGAGCAAGATCACAGGAAATCTTGCATGCTATTCGTTGGTAGAAATGAAAGCGAAGCTCAAGTAAATGCGCTTGTATGAAAAGCCTTTGTGTGTCTCCCTCTCGTGGCATAGTATCTTCCAGAAACATGTCGTGAGAGGGCACGGAGGGCGGTTAATCATTGTAAATCGTTTTTCCCTTCGGGAACTGCCGCCAAATTCTTCATTCCCTTGGCGGTTCTTGATGCCATCAAAGCCTACCGCAACGCTGCCAGGGATTTTACTGACTGCTTGCAAAAAGTTGCATTCGAATAGAAGTCGCTGAGACCGATAACTGATGACCCTTATTTGTAACCACAGCTCCTCAGAAAGGTTGCCCTTCTTATATGCAGAACTTGCTATATTCCATCACTGTAATATGCACTTTACAATACTTTTGACTCTCGGTTAACAGTATGAGCTGAATTTGGGCGTGTTCCCCTTCTAGATGTAGGTGTCCGAGGAATATTGTATACGCTCTCAGTAAGACAATATATCACAGCTATCACGGCAATGTTTGACCAATTTACGGCCGCTTAAATCAACAGTCGAGTAAGAAGACTGCTCACTGCTCTACCGCAAACACTCGATGAAACTTCTAGGGATTGGGCAAAGTTCAACGCTATTTTGCTTGGACCGTATTTGTTATTACTAATGTACCCTTCGAATAATAGACTAGAATTTGCTCGAGAAATGGATTTCCCTCGGTTTACAAGAGCCACGATTGGGGTGAAAGAGGTTTTAACCCTTTCGAAAGAGTTCTACAGACTTCAAATGAAGTGCCTTTCGTCCTACTTTTAGAGCTCAGGAGACCTTATCTCGTCGGTAATACATCACATCGCAATGACCCTCATGAGAACCGAGTGTGATTTGCGCAACGGACGAAGAGTTCTCTTGTGCCAAGGTGTTAGTGGCCATTAACGAAGAGATAAAAGGCAGAGTCAATGGACCGAACCACATCGGGATCACTCAAGTGAGAGTGAATTGAAGGATATACACCAAGTGCTGCAAAGGACAGAAGGGCACTCTAACAAAAGGAATTAGGGCGTTGAGGGGCTGTTTAAGGAGAAATCTTAAGAAGCTAACAGGCATGATAGGTAGCGGAAGTTTATCAAGGGGCAAATAAATAAATGAACTTTCATGTATGGTGTGTTCCGGTCCCAATTCATCAAAAAAACGCCATTGCAAAAGTTTAGAATTCGATATTCTTCGGAGCAATAACGGTTCAAAGATGGTTTCGTGCCAAGCCTCTGATTTCAGGTATGGGTCAAGGTTTACTTCCCTTAAGACGAAAAAAAATTTTATTTATCTTAGAAAACATATTTAATATGTAAAACTAAGATAAAGCATCGAAAAATTAAACTTAGCGGTTCCATGAAGCGGCTTATTTACTTGTTGTGTTCCCATTATTGCCACTCTCAGAGGGTTTCATGGTAAGAGAATACTCGACTGGCTATGAAGTTCGTTCTTCGCAGTAATCGTTGAATCCACAGTACTCAAAGAGTCTTCTTCTAACCGCATTTGCTTGTTGCTACTGGAAACCTGTTGGGACGCCGATCGTTTTTGAACTTCTTCAATAGAGGCAAATAAATAAGCGTCAAATAAGCATGAACTGCCCTGAAAGGGATACAATAGTAACCTAACGCTGGCACTCAAAATGTTGCAAGGCTCAATATTTTTTCCTTTTTTTGAATGACTGCAGTTCTACTTATCAGACCCGATTCCCTTCACATCTATCCCGACTTGCTTGTCTTCTCACTGTTATCTTGTTGTTTGTTGTGGTAGCCACATTTGTATTGACAGGAGCGCAACATTAATGGCATTTTTAATGGACTGTGCTAGGCCACCGGCGGCGGCTGAGGACTATTTCCCGCACGTAATGACCTCCAGAAGTTACTGATAACTTATCAGTCGATGTTATTACGTAAGGTTCGACATCCATATAGGCTAAGCTGGAAATAGGGCAACAGTGGAGGGCTTGGCGAGGTTACCCCATCACAATGGGGGACTAAAATGGTACTGCCATTTTGTTTTCAACATCTATTAGTGAAGCAGCAACCAGTCACTCAGGTCAAAGGCGGTATCGAGAGCAGGGGGGGGGGGGGCACAATTGCGAAGATGAGGTTTATTCAGTTTTTGAGGTGGTAGTTATTTTGTTACTTTTTGGAGCCAAATCCTAGGTTTGGAAGCCTTCATATAAACTAATAAAGAATAGAAAGATTCATTGTCGTAGAACCCTTCAGTATAGGACTGCGCGGAATAAAAAATCTCCTCTACACTTTCAATACGACGTTGTTTTCAAGGATTGGCACTGAAAATATGCAAAGATCTGAATTTTGAAGTTTTTTTTTGCAGTGGTTGTTCAGAATTACAGGGTTTGATTGATCCTCCTTGCAGGAAAAACGTTTGTCCTCATGAAGAAGTCGAGATTGTGACTGTGAAACAACCTTGCGTGGAGCGATATACGAAGTACGTCCGGACGCGGAAACCGGGATGCAATGGACAGTTCAGGAGTTGCTCAGTTCGGAAACCAAAGTGAGCTTTTAAAAGCGAAATTGCTGGATGACTCAAGTGTTCATCACAAATAGTATTGAGTGAAGTAATGGGAGCAGTATGCCGATAGTTTTTGCCAATATATGTGGTACGGCTATTCTGGAAAGTGCAGGTAATAAGTGGGTTTCCGGAGTCTTTCTCATAAAAATAGAGTACCTGAAATTGTCCATTGCCGTCAATCGTTTGGTTCCATCTACAATTACTGCTATATTTGAGTAGGGGGTTCGACTGTAATGACCTCTAACGTCATGGGAACCTTACGTCACAGGTTTGGACCTTATAATTAACCTAGTCCAGTCATTTAGCGATGCATGGGAGTGGCGATGCAGGGCGATTTTTTTTTCGAATCGCAAAAAAACTAGGGACTGTATTGTACGTCCTACGACGATTATTTATCGTCGCTGCGACATCTCTAAGAATGCCATCCATCTGAAGCCAATCACAACTGGACCTTGGTTGTTTTTTCCATTTTTGGCAGCAGTGACATCGAAAGGGTTGTCTACCATTGATGAAACGCTGTGAATTGACCGATAGATATGGATCCTAAACAGAGCAAGTGTGAATGGATCGCTTCTGTCAACTCTTTCACGCTTTGTATAAATTGGTCTCTCATAATCATGGAATCTATGGTGAGGCCTAAGATCTTATAACTATAAGCGAAACGTGGCAGTTTAATTCGAAAATAGTCTGTCTAGATGCGGGATTCTTTTTTTTTTTTGTTCGCTAGCAGACCTTCGTGGAGTAAAAATCGGGAGCCGGACAGTTAACCAAAAGTTCAATAGTTCCATATGTTGGAAAACATGGACGACGGTATTTTAAGTTGGCATAAAGGAATCGCCAATCTACATAAAAGTGGTCCAAAGTGCCTCTTAAGAAGGCTTCTCGTAGTTTTCAGATGGTAGTACGTTACGTATCAGTACGTTTCTTTTTGTCATCTTTCTTTGAACTTCTACACTAACGCTGAGGAATATATTTGTGATGCTAAATTGTAACGATCGAACTTTTAAAATTCTAGAATCGTCTATTTTCACTCCTACAAAAAAGTAAACCGAACGAGGCGGCACACGGTGGCCGAGTGTTGTGCTGGATGGGTGCACGTTCCCGGAACGGATGGATGTCAACGAGGTGAGAACATAGGTTTATGAGTCTGCTTCTGTTGGACTGATATGGTAGAGCACAATTTGTTGAGTGGATTTTCGGGATACCAAATATGAAATGGATAAGAAGGGACCGAATATGGGCGTTGGGAGCAGTTTGGGTTCTTTCTGAAACAAAGCTCAAGGGAATGTTCAAGGGAAGTGCTCGAAGACTACTGCAGTTAGAACT